CCATTCAGCTCTCATTAAGATCAATGATCTTGGGACTTCCCTGGTGGCACACTGGTTAAGAATCCACTTGCCGATGCAGGGGACACAGGTTCAAGCCCTGGACCGGGAAGATCCCACATGCCGCGGTGCAACTAAGCCCGTACACCACAACTACTGAGTCCGCACTCTAGAGCCTGTGCTCCGCAACAAGAGAAGCCACCGCAATGAGAAGCCCCGCACACTGCAACGAAGAGTGGCCCCCGCTCACCGCAACTAGAGAAAGCCTGTGCGCAGCAATGAAGACCCAACGCAGCCAAAAATAAATAAATAAAACAAATAAATTTATTAAAAAGAAAAAAGATCAATGATCTTGGAAATGTTGCTAAATCCAAAGGACACCTTTTAGTCTTCACCCTACTTGACCTCTCACGAGTATGCAACATAATTGTTCTTTCTCTTCTTTAATCCCTCTCTTCCCTGCGTTAATGTGCACTAATGCAAAAGCAATGGTGGATAAAACTGCTGGTGCTTTAGCATGAATCAAGGCAGCGGCACTAAACTGTACCACTAGTAATGGTATGGTATTCTTCACTGCCAAGCTCTAGCATGGGGGGAAAAATTATTTATTTTACTAAACCTCAACCCTTGAATACATATCTTTTTAATATCCTACTTAAGGAAACGGAAAGTAAGCATAAAGCACTTCTGCACAGGAAGAGTACTTGTACAACTGTTGGAGAGCTGAACTAGCCACTTTTTTTCATGCAACATCATTTTTACTTGAAAGAACTTCAGGCAAATTGTGGTTATTCAGACTTGGATATCTGGCAAACATTTTCTCAAAAATTAACCAAGTAAGCCTTTCACTTCAAGGAAAAACAACTGACAGTATTTGTTGCCAATGATAACATTCAAGCTTTCAAGCAAAAATCACAACTTGTACCTGCCACCAGGAGCTTGACAGAGCTTCCCAATATTTAAAGACCTTTCTGATGAGATTAGTAGTCGCAATAACAAATGTGAGTTTGTGATACTGTAGAATGACATATGGCAACATTAGGAATATCTGTATAACTCAGTAGACCAATACTTTTCACATGACCAGTGCATGATCTTTAAAACTTAAACATGGGTTTAAAAAAACCCACTCAGGGACCTCCCTGGTAGTCCAGTGGCTAAGGCTCCATGCTCCCAATGCAGGGGGCCTGGGTTCAATCCCTGGTCAGGGAACTAGATCCCACATGCCGCAACTAAAGATCCTGCGTGCCACAACTAAGACCTGGCACAGCCAAAAGAATAAATAAATAAATATTTTTTAAAAAACCAACCCATTCAAAGTACCAGAGAGACCAACAGATTTTAATGTACAAGAGTATGACAAGTTCACTGATATTTCAGAACCCACATTATAACTAACCCTTCAGAAACTATCACTTGCCTATACACTACTATGCATAAAATAGATAGCTAATGAGAAACTACTGTATAGCACAGGGAACTCTACTGAATGCTCTGTGGTGACCCAAATGGGAAGGAAATCCAAAAAGAAGGGGACATATAGCTGACTCACTCTGCTGTACAGCAGAAACTAACACAACATTGTAAAGCAACTATACTCCAATAAAAATTAATTAAAAAAAAAAAGAAACTACACTCCCCCCCTCAGTTTCGTATGATATCAAAGAAGAATATCCATAATTACACGCAAAAAATCATTACAACATTCCTCCCTTTTCCAGCTACATCTATGCGGGGGATGAGTTTTTTTTCATATATTTCAGTCAAAACAATATAATGCAACACAATAAATGCAAAGCAGATATGAGAATCTAGCCACAACCACACTCATGATCTCAGTCCCTCAAAACATGGGAGTTCCTTGGCAGTCCAGTGGTTAGGACTTGGCGCTTTCACTTCAGGGGCCCAGGTTCAATCCCTGGTTGGGGAACTAAGATCCCACAAGCCATGAGGCGTGGCCAAAAAAAACCAAAAACCAAAAACCAAAAACAAAAAACAAAAACATGGTCCTCTTCCAGTGTTCTCTCTCACTGAATGGCATCATCATCCATTGTAACCTGAATCATCCATGGTACCTCCATGCAATGAAGAGTAGCCCCCGCTCGCCGCAACCAGAGAAAGCCCATGCACAGCAACGAAGACCCAACGCAGCCAAAAATAAAATAAATAAATTTATAAAGTAAAAAATTTTAAAAATAAATAAAAATTTCCTTTAAAATTGTTTCAATATAATAACACTTCTAAAAAATGCCATTACAAACACCTCTACTATATGTTACTACTTAATGGAAGACATGATAGTTGATTTGACTGGTAGGTATGACTTACTTTTTAAAATACCAAAAGTAATTCTCAGGTCAATGAAAACTCTCTAATGAAATCTATGAATGTTCAAAAACCTATTTCACTTTTCTATGAATCTGACCAAAACAAGCGTTAACAGAGCAGCAAAATTATTATGTTCTCAAAGTTTGCCAATAACAATAACTACTTGAAATAAAGGAGTCACTAACAGACTGTGATTTGGGAACTTTGTTCATAAGGATTTTTATCATAATAGTACTGTCTCAATGGGATTTACAACTAAGAATTATTAACTATTTATTTATTAATTCATCTTCATTAATCATTCAAAAATGAAGATGATTAAAAATGCTTTGTCAATTTAGTAATTCAGCCTTTATTCTCACCTCAAAGAAATTAAGATAATTATACCAAATTTTATGTCAACATCTCAAACATTTTCTACTAATTACTTCAAAACGGCATTAGAACAAATATAGAAGCATCTGAGTTTTCATTTACTTATCACCGGAATTCAAAATTGTAAATATAAATGTAAAATAAACAATGAAAACCAAACGTGTTCAGCATTCAGAAGAACAGTTAATCTAACCGGGTAAGTATCACATAAGAGGAAAAACATGGCATTAATGGCCAGTCTAGTACTGATTCCTTTACATTTTTGCACAAATTCTACACAACCTCTGAATAAAACTGCTTAAACTCTCCAAACATCAAAGTCTGTTTATTCCGGAAAGTATGCTATATGGTTAACATCCAATTTATACCCTCTCCAAACTGAAATTTACAAAGCAATGATTTGCTTAACAAAGTACAGGGAATTCCCTGAAGGTCCAGTGGTTAGGACTCAGCACTTTCACTGCAGTAGCCTGGGTTCAGTCCCTGGGGGGGAACTAAGATTCCGCAAGCCATGTGGCACCGCCCCCCCCCCCAAAAAAAAGGTACAGTGTCCTAAGACTTAACACTAATGAAGAAAGGGCAATTGGGAATATATGTTCATTATCATCTGCATTTTCATGTCAATTTAAGCCAATTACTCGATACAGAAATAGCCACCTTTAAAGAACTATTTGTATTCTCCCAGCTCATAACATGTTTTGAAATTGAATCAATCAAGCTATGGGTTAAAATCAGTATTCCCTAATTCCTATTCATCCAATAAACATGCATTTGTGTCATCACAATTATCATTACTAGAGTTAGTTCACCTACCAATTTTTATTTCTCAGGAAAGTGTAAATGGAAGACTGCAAGAACTTTTTAAAAGATAGTTTTAAAACTCACTAAACAAAATTCTACACAAACTGAAATCAGCAAATGGTTGAAAACATGTTATGTAGATGTCCCTACAGCAACCCCAAAGGAAGATGATGAAGGGATGTACTTACGTTTCAAAACAACGATCCACGTTGTCAGACATCAAAAGCAGCATGCATAGCTGTTCAAGGGCTATTAGTTGCATGTCCCTTTCATCTCCCTGTCCCATCTGTAGCCATTCCAGCAATGTATCTGGATCCACGTCTGCCATGTTGTTTTTAAAAGCTTCTTTGCTCAAATTTAAAAAGTAAAGGCAAAAAGTCCTCTAAATGTCCAGGACTGATCAGCGTGGGTTTAAAATTTTTTTCTTTTACATCGGCTAGAGCCAAATTTTTGTGTTGTCCTCCTAGGAATTAGAAAAGACTCATAAGTATGTTTCGATAGCGCGCTTAATGCAGTTTTTCAACTTTCCTTATTCCTCGGGTTTAACTTCATACATTGTGCTAAATAAAAACCAGTTTTGCACAAGAGTATAAGCTGATTAGGTTGCTGCTTAACTGGAAACCAGAGCCGTCTTTGTCAAAGACAATCAAACAAGCTTCGGATCCCACTACTGCTTATCACTAACGTCTGCGCCAAAAAGCAAACAACACCTTACTAAAAAGGTTCTTTTTTTTTTTCCAGCAAACTTCTTTCCCCTTCCTCCACCCAAAACCGATCTTCTGATAAGGGTTAGATTCAGTATTTTAAGGAGACTAAGCACTTTGATCGAATTCCCCCCCAAATTAAGTTTCTACTTTAAAATTACCTCCAATTTCATAAATTCTACTGACTTCTCAATTTATTTACTGCTCTTAAGATGTCCAAATACAAATGATAATTAGATACAAGATCTATCTATGAATAAAGACTTTATTAGGAATTTTGGCAGTCTTGACAACTGTTCTTAAAAGTTTAAAAAGAAATGCTAAAAGTAAGTGCAATGGACTAACACGTTACGGATCAGAACATAGGCCAATCTACGGTCCTCCTTCCCCAGCCCCACAGAATGAGGCAGTTAATTAAAAACAACAACAACGACAGCAGCAACAACATCGGAAAAGCAGCCCCAATAAGCATTACAAAAGCTCGTAAGCGCCCTGACGGAAGGACAGCTTTGGGTCCCACGTAACCCAGCTGCAGGTGTATAAATCCAGCGGCAGGTCCCGCTGGGCACCCAAAGGCGGCGATCTGCAGGGATGACCCAACACTCCGGGCCCAGCCGACTCCGCACCGGGCGGCGCAGGCACCGCGCTCAGGTTTTCCGGCACCAAACCCGGCTAAGTTAGGTACCTGTGTCGAGGAGGAGGGGAAGTTTGGGAGGAGGAGCAGCAAGCCTCTCTGCCTGAGAGGAGGCCGCCGGGGCGGGCAGGGCGATGGGTCTCCCGGGAGCGGCGCCCGTAACTCCGAGGCCCGGCGGGACGTCCCTGGCCCCGCCGGGCGGCGAACCCTTCTCAAGGACAAGGGGGGCCAGCCATGAGCTCCAGCTCGGAGAAGCCGGGTCCCTACGCGGGCAGGGCCGGAGGAGGGGAACAAAGGGGCTAAGCGGGTGAGTCGGCGGCAGCCCCGCCGACCTCACCAGGGTCCGGGGTCTCGCTCCCGGCCCGCGGCCGTGCATCCCAGATGCCTGCACCACGCCTGGCCTTTCCGACCGCCCAAGGCGCTCCCGCCTCCCCTTCCCTCAAGCTCTTACCCGGGCCTGTCGTCCCAAACCGCCCCGGTCCAGCTCCAAGCAGGCCGCGGGCAGAGCAAGGCCCGGCCGCGGCCCTCGAGTTCCCAGGAAGCTGCAGGCCGCGCAGGTCGAGCCGGGCAGGCGGCACAGGAAAAGCCGCGTCTCGTCCCTCCCCTTCCTCCGCCAGGACCTGGTGACAGGGAAGCGAGAGGTTCCCCAGACCGGCGGCCGCCAGCTCACGTCCCGTCTTCGGCACGCGTCTCCTCAGGCCCTGCAGCTGCTCAGAGCCCCGCGTGGTGCTGCCGGCGGCGGCGGCTGGGAGATGCAGCGTCCATCGCGATCCGGGAGGGGGATGGGTGGAGGGTCGGGTGAGAGCCGGGCGGGGAAACTGCGGAGGGCAACCGTGCGCGGCGGAGGCGGAGCAAATATGCTCTCCCCGCTCGACCCTGCCGGCCGCCACGTGGGGCGCTGCGGAGACCAGTCGGCCCACAGCGCTGGGGCGCCTAGCCGGGGCGCCGGGCGACCGGACGCGTCGTCGCCGCTACCGGGGCCTCGGACTCCTTCGACCTCGTCGGCTGTCGCTTTTCTGTCGTACGCCCTGCGCCTTCACGCTTCGCTGTCAATCCGAGCGCACTCCCAGCACCCCGCGCACACGGGTGCACGCACGCTCAGCGTGTTTTGCACGGTGTGTACACATTTGACGTGCTCCAGCTGAAGGCCCCGACGCCCCGCGTGAAAGCTGCGGCCCAGGCGACCTCCGCCACGAGCTTACCCTCCTCTCGGCTGGTCATCCCTCCTCGCGCACGGAAGTGCGTCGGGGGAAGAAAAGCGCCTCCATTCGGTAGGCAAACCGCCCGGCAGTTCACCAGAAAGGAAAACTTTCACCACCACCCTGGGAGGTAAATATTGTCGAGTATCCTCTCCATTGTACAGATGAGAGAGAGCACTGCGGCTCCCAAAAGCGTGAATCAGGCCCAGTGGCGTCCCCAGTAGAAGCAGCTCCTCGAGTGTGCTTTTGAGTTCTTTCTCTGCGTTGTAGTCTCCAATATGTCCATTATTATTACCTTCAAACGTTTTATTTCACACGCGTTGAAAACAAAATATGCCTGCTTATGGGACGGGCTTGGAGACATTTAGGATGTAATTAATTGGAAATGTGAATATAGCTTTTTTTTAAATCAAGAAATGAATCCATTGGTTTGTGAGATAAGTAAACCCATGCCCCGTACACCCACTGTACTATCACTTTTTCATATTTTAAACGAAAATGAGTATTACATGATAGTATTTGAGTCGTGTTCCTTTAAGCAATCAGAGAAGCTGCTACATTGCTTGAAGAACTAGTATTTTGGAAATTACAGATTTACACCTCAGATATCTATAGGTACATGTCCCATTGTAGCAGGTAAGTGTTCCCAGGTCTCCGGTTAATAGGTCAAATTAAGAGAAAAGAGTGGAGGATTCCACTATCTTGTCCCAAGTACAGCACATGAGAATAATTATTTGTGAGCTATGAATGTGACTTGGAGCTGCCAGGAAAATCTTCAAGGAGGAAGTGGCATTCCTTTTGGACTTGAAGAATGGGTAGAATGTGAACACTAAAAGGGAGGAGTAAGAATACAGGCAAAGCCTGATCTGTTCTGAAACAAAGGAAAGAGGACCTGTGCCCCAAGCAAAAACCAGCATTAAGCAATGATATAGAAGATAGGAGCTAAAGTAAGCGGGGACTTAAATGTGTGGGATGCAGAATTTAGGCTGAGGAAGCTAACAAGTTCTGGACTAGAACATTGACTGGAAAAATTATAAAAGTCTTACAAAGATGTATAGGGCAAGAGTGTCCAGAATGGCTAAAAGGAGCTACCTAGACAAGGAGATTAACTGGGAAATTGCTAAAATCCTACAGTAGTGGAGAGAGAAAGGGCCTAGTTTTTGGCAATAAGAATGGAGAAGAAATCTTTAAAATACTTTTTTAAAAAATAGATCAGAATTTAAATAATTATATAAAGGTATAGTTTCCTTTATTCCCTCACCATCTCTATTTATGCCACCCACTTCCTACCTGGAAAATTAATGGCTGTAGTATACTTTAAAGAAACCCTATCCAAAAATGCTGACCTTTTTTGTGATTTTATTATTGAATCATTTTTTAATTGAAATGAGATCCTGGAAAAAGAGCATTAAAGGAAAGGAATAAATCCCTGCAGAAAACAGGAGACCCAGATGAAGGCAACTGACCGTGCTTGAATATATGTCCCAAGAAACCAGGATATATTTACATGTTAATATTTCACCTTTATGTCAAAATCTAAGAATAATGAACTTTAAGAATTGCTATGTGCCAGGCAGTGTAAGGTACAGTGAGTAAGTCACAGACCTCATCTTCAATAAACTATAAAAGTCTAGAGGAAGGTAGATGTATTCACATCCACTGTGTCTGGCTCCATGATCATACTTATTACGTAATATTGTCAGGTACACTGGGACCATCAAGGAGGTAATGATATCTTGGAAGGCTTCAAAAATAATGTGTGAACCATGTTTGGAGCTGGCCAAACATTACGAAGACCACGTGGAGAGTCATAGAGATGTGGAGAGGACTCCTCTTGGGGGAGGAGAGGGAACAGGCTGCCTTTTGGTATAGGCCCCACTTTCATGAAGGATCTTCAGTATATACACAGCTGGAACCGTTCAACAAGATCAAAAAGGAAGACGTTCATTCAAATTTAAACTCTTATCCCACTGATTGGCGTTACAATGAAGTAATTTTTAAAATAAATCTTATGAGTAACACAGTTATATGACACTAAGTTTTTTATGTATCGAAAGCATTGTTAGCTGTAAACATTTCAAATACACTACAAAAAATGTCTGGGCATTTCTTGAACTTTTAACTGGAAATGGGGATGTCTGTGGCTTTCCTCAATTTCTGAGAGGCTCTGAATATGAAAGAATGTAATCAGTCATTTTGGAAGAGTAGGAAATTAATTTGGCTGGAACCTAGGGTGGAGGTAGTGGCTGGAAGAGAACATTGAGGTTAATTGGAATCAATTAGCTAAGGGTCTTGTGCTAAGGAGTCTGAACATTGGGTGAACAGTGTTGTTCTTTGGGTGATGGGGAGCTTTTGGACATTTTAAACAAAGGAGTGCGGTAATGCAAACCAGGTTTTAGGATGATTAAACACCTTAAAGTTAAAATTCATTTCTATGAAGCTTTACAGTTAGCAAGAGACTTTTACATATATTATTATTTAATCCTCATATATAATTTTATTATATATATAAAAATGATCTAACAGCGTAGGTATTATTATTATTATTTTTTTTGGTATTATCTTTATATAAGAGGAAAAGCTCAGAGAAGTTAGGTGACTTGCTCAGGGTCTCATAGCTCCTCAGGGACCGGTCGCGTTCTGAAACCCAGGCCTTCAATTCTTCTGGCTCTTAAGAGTCTGAAGGAATGTTAAAGATAACCTACTCTGTCTTCCCTCGTATTGAAAAAAAAAATGTAGTAATTTGTCTGTGCCATCTCTGACTTGTTATCCAGCCTTTTCTATGATATTTCCAGTGTTGGGAAATGATTATTTCATGAGGCAATGCATTTTACCCCAATCTATTAGCTCCAATTATTAAAAAGTGGTGTGGTAGAAGCTGGCCGACCAATATCTGAAACCCTGTTCCCATTTTACTACCTGGGTGAACTTGGATAAATTATTTGATCCCTCCAAACCTCAGTTTCCTCATATGTAAAAAAGGATGACAACAGCTGCATAATTAGATGAACATTAGAAGAGTTGAAGGAGATTGCGTATGCAAAGAACCTAGACCAGTAATTTTCAACCTTAGCTGCACATAAGAGTCATTTGGGGCACTTTTTTTTTTTAATAGACTATTTTTTTAGAGCAGTTTAGGTTCGCAGTAAAGTTGAGCCGAAAATACAGAGAATTCCCATACACCTCCTGCCCCTATACATGCACAACTGTCAAAATCCCCCACAGGATAGTACATTTGTTACAATTAACGAACCTAGGTTGACACATCATTATCACTCAAAGTCCATAGTTCACATTAGAGTTCACTTTTGGTGTTGTATAGTCTACGGATTTTGACAAATATATCATCACACATATCCATCATTATAGAATAGTTTCACAGGCCTAAAAATCACCTGTGCTCTATGTATTCATCCCATTCACCCCTAGCTCCTAGCAACCACTAATCTTTTTACCTTGTCTGTTGTTTTACCTTATCCAGAATGTTATACAGTTGAAATCGTATAGTATGTAGCCTTTTCATGTCGGTTTCTTTCACTTAGTAATATGCATTTAATGTTCTTTCATGTCTTTTCATGGCTTAATAGCTCATTTCTTTTTAGGGCTGAATAATATTATGTTGTCCGGATGTACCAAAGTTTATTTATCCATCTACCTACTGAAGGACATCTTGGATGCTTCCAAGTTTTGGCAATAAAAATAAGCTTCTGTAAACATCCAGGTGCAAATTTTTACATGGACATAAGTTTTCAACTCATTTGGATGAATTCTAAGGACCATAATTTCTGGATTGTATGGTAAGAATATGTTTGTTTGTTTGTTTTCCTTCCAGTTTTACTGAGATATAATTGACATACTGCACTGTATAAGCTTAAGATGTACAACATAATTATTTGACTCACATATGTCATGAAATGATTACCACAGTAGTTTTAGTGATCATTCATCATCTCATATAGATACCACATTAAAGAAATAGATTAAAAAATTATTTTTTCCTTGTGATGAGAACTCTTAGGATTTACTCTTAACAACTTTCATTTATAACGTTCAGCAGTGTTAATTATTGTTATCATGTCATAAATGACATCCCTAGTACATATTTTTCTTTTAACTGGAAGTTTGTACCTTTTGACTACCTTCATCTAATTCTCCCTCCCTCCCACAAGAATATGTTTACTTTTTATTTTATTTATGTATTTATTTATTTTTCGGTACGCGGGCCCCTCACTGTTGTGGCCTCTCCCGTTGCGGAGCACAGGCTCCGGACGCGCAGACTCAGCGGCCATGGCTCACGGGACTAGCTGCTCTGCGGCATGTGGGATCTTCCCAGACTGGGGCATGAACCCATGTCCCCTGCATCGGCAGGCGGACTCTCAACCACTGCGCCACCAGGGAAGCCCAAGAATATGTTTACTTTTGTAAGAAACTGCCAAACTGTCTTCCAAAGTAGCTATACCATTTTGCATTTCTTTTTTCTTTTTTTTTTTTTTTTTGCTGAGCTGCATAGCTTGTGGGATCTTAGTTCCCTGACCAGGGATCAAGAGCGCCAAGTCCTAACCACTGGACCTCCAGGGAATTCCCCCCCATTTTGATTTCCATAAGCAGTGAATGAGAGTTCCTGTTGCCCAACATTCTCGTCAGCATTTGCTATTGTCAGTGTTTTGGATTTTGCCCATTCTAATAGGTGTGTAGTGGTATCATATTATTGTTTTAATTTTCAATTCCCTAATGGCTTGTGATGTGGAGCATCTTTTCATATACTTATTTGCTACCTGTATATCTTCTTTGATGAGGTGTCTGTTCAGATCTGTTGCCCATTTTTTAAGCATATTGTTCATTTTCTTGTTGAACTGTAAGTGTTCTTTGTATATTCTGATAGTAGTCTTTATCAGATGTGTCTTTGTGAATGTTTTCTTCACCTGGGGAACTTTTAAAATGTCAATCAGGTCATATCTCAGACCCCTTCAGTCAGGGTCTCTGAAGGTAGAATCCGGACATCAGTATTTTTTTTTAAAATGTTTATTTATTTATTTATTTTGGCTGCACTGGGTCTTAGTTGCGGCTTGTGGGATCTTTGTTGCAGCATGCAGACATCTTAGTTACGGCATGTATGCGGGATCTAGTTCCCTGACCAGGAATCAAACCCAGGCCACCTGCACTGGGAGTGCGGAGTCTTACCCACTGGACCACCAAGGAAGTCCTCGGACATCAGTATTTTTTAAAGTCATTCTAATGTGTAGCCAAGGCTGAGAACCACTGACCTAAGTCAATACAATAATAATAATATTTAAATATAATTATAATGACACTATCATTATTATTATTGCTGCTTAATTTTCTTAGGCACTTATCATGTCCTGA